TAAATTATTACTTGAATGTTAACCACACTATCTATGACCAGACACCACGTGGTTTTTTCGAAATTGCATTAGTTTGTCGATATATTCATCGTGAGTTTTGAGTGTGGCTAACAGTCCTTGTTCATTGACGGGCGAACCTTCTGGTCCATAGTTGATAAACTCATCATTTAGATTGGTCATAGCACCGCCAAGTGCACGTAAAATGGCATCGCCCGCACATATATCCCATTTTTTTATTTTCGTCGAGTGCAAGTACGCCGTGGCATTGTTGGAAATCACCTGTAGCACCTTGTAGCCAGCGCCTGCAGCCGTAATAATTTCAGAGTTTTCACCAAAAACATCTTTTATTAGTTCTTTAACACTGCCTGCATGGGAGCGAGAAACTGTGATAAGTGGCTTGGTGGTATCCGGATTTAGTGGATGTATAAGAGCCAAATATTCCGACATTGAATGATCCACCCACGCCCATGCTGTCTGTCCTATAAAAGGACTGTGAATTACGCCGATGATAGGTTTCCCCTTTACCGCAACACAAACCATCGTTGTTACGTATTGATATAATTTTTCTGTAAGAATTCCATTACAATATCTAATCATATTGAATTTGTTTCATGAATATACCTGTGAACTCTTGTGTTGCATCTAGCGGGTCGATCCACACAGTGACTTCATCTATATCTACCAATACATTAGGTAAGTCTGCAGTTTCATGTAAAACTGTCGGATCTAGATCGAAGGTATTTACATTGCTACAGCTTTCTTTATCCTCTTCAGAAAAAATTTTAATACGTGGAAATATGCGATGCAGGCCCTCTTTCATAACACAATGGGAACGCCCATCCGCGTCCGTAAAAGGGTCGTTGGCTCCTTCATCGGTTTTCCCCTTACTGCGCTCTTTTAAGTCTCTTGTCTGCGCAACCTCCAATACTTCTATGCCACCACGCTGAGCTGCCTGTATAGCGCCAATAAGAAGTTTACGTAGGTTTACTTTATTTTGATTACGTAGCAGTCCATATACCGCCGGCCGCTCATCCTGATTGAAGTTGACGAAGTACACTATAATAAGCGTCAACAAAATAATGGCAATTGCGGCGGGCACACGATGAACATGTATTCTGCGCCCCATGTTTTCTTTGCGGTTCAAATAGCTCATAGAAGTTAAGTTAAGGTAAATAATTTGATGGCGTGTCCAAATCAGACTCACCTGTTAAAAACAAACTGCAATACACAAGATCAACAAAACATTTGTAAACAAATAGAACGCCTAGAGCGACATCTGAAGTATAGTAAAAATTTTGACATTTATGTCTGAGTTGGCAATGCCAATATTTAATTAATTATTAATTGTGAATCTCAAGGCAAAAAGAAGAAGCATCCGCATTGGTGAAGATTTGACACGTCAATTGTATTTTTCACAATACATGTTTTTGCGATAATTTATAAAGTAATTCGTTTTGAAGGCTGGAACTCGTATATTTGTTGCCTAATTTGTGCATAACTTTCGATTTCATTTGAAATATTTCATTTTAGTTTCGAGAATTAACCAAAAGTTTGAGCAACAATCATGGCGTTGGCTGAGGGACCTTGCTATACAATAATTAACTCTCCGGACATCGAGGTGCCGAACGAGATGCAGCTTAAACAAGACCTCGAAAAGGGCGACACCAATGTTAAAATCGAAACCCTAAAGAAAGTTATACAAATGTTGTTGAATGGAGAGCGTTTGTCTGGATTGATTATGACCATTATCAGATTCGTACTGCCCGTACAAAATCATCAAATCAAAAAACTATTACTCATCTTCTGGGAGATCGTACCGAAGACTTCCGCCGATGGCAAACTTCTGCAAGAAATGATACTCGTGTGCGATGCTTATCGCAAAGACTTGCAGCATCCAAATGAGTTTTTGCGGGGTTCAACTTTGCGTTTCTTATGCAAGTTGAAGGAGCCTGAGCTATTGGAGCCACTCATGCCAGCCATACGAGCGTGCCTCGAACATCGTCATTCCTACGTACGTCGAAATGCAGTTTTAGCCATTTTCACCATCTACAAAAATTTCGATTGGTTGGTGCCAGATGGACCTGAGTTGATTGCTAACTTCTTGGAAACTCAGCAAGATATGTCTTGCAAGCGCAATGCGTTTCTGATGCTGTTGCATGCAGATCAAGAGCGTGCACTCAACTATCTGGCTTCTTGCATTGACCAAGTAAACAATTTTGGTGATATTCTACAACTGGTCATCGTCGAGCTTATTTATAAGGTTTGCCATGCCAATCCATCTGAACGCTCCCGTTTTATACGCTGCATTTACAATTTGCTTAACTCGTCATCAAACGCCGTGCGCTATGAAGCTGCTGGTACCCTTATTACACTATCTTCCGCTCCAACCGCTATACGGGCAGCAGCCAGCTGCTACATTGAGTTGATCGTCGGCGACAGCGACAACAATGTTAAACTTATCGTTCTGGATCGATTGGTTGCTATGAAGGAAAATGAAAACATGGAGAAAGTAATGCAAGATTTGGTCATGGATATATTGCGAGTTTTAGCAGCACCTGACATTGAAGTGCGCCGCAAGACCTTGGCTTTGGCAATGGATTTAGTTTCATCACGCAACATCGAAGAAATGGTGCTGGTGCTTAAGAAAGAAGTATCCAAGACTCACAATGTTGAACATGAAGACACCGGCAAGTATCGTCAATTGCTTGTGCGCACACTACACACTTGCTCCATTAAATTCCCAGATGTGGCAGCAAATGTAATACCGGTACTGGTCGAATTTCTTTCCGACACAAATGAGTTAGCTGCTGCCGATGTATTAATTTTTATTCGCGAAGCTATACAGAAATTTGCTGCACTGCGTGCACTTATTATTGAGCGCCTAATTGAAGCATTTCCACAAATAAAATCTTCGAAAATTCACCGCGCTGCAGTCTGGATATTAGGTGAATATGTTGATAACAAAGAGCAAGTAGTGGAAGTCACAGAAGCTATTATTCAAACTTTGGGCGAGGTACCGATGGTGGAGGCCGAGCAAAAGCGTCTGGCCGGTGAACAAACGGATGAAGGTGACAAGGCTGCCGAAGGCAACAACGCTATTTCTTCAAGCAATAAAGTAACTTCTGATGGTACATATGCTACACAAAGCGCATTCAGCCTGGCACCGTAAGCTACAACATTTTATTTTTTATTGGTTTGGTTTTATTTAAATCATACTTTTTTATAGTGTGGCCAAGAAAGAGAAGCGTCCACCACTACGGCAATATCTAATGGATGGTGATTTCTTCATAGGTGCTGCCTTATCGGCCACACTGACTAAGCTTGCACTACGTTACGCAGAACTAGAAAATGATGAGGTTAGTAATTTAAAAATCTCTCTTGATCATAATGCACTGCCACATCTCTTTCAGCGTCAGCAAAATCGCTTGACCACACAAGTGATGCTCATTATGAGTTCCATTTTGCATCTTGGCAAGTCAGGCTTTCCAACCAAGCCTATTACCAATGATGACATTGATCGCATTTTCATTTGCTTGCGCACACTGAGTGAGCGCACAAAAGAGGCTGTAGAAGTATTTCAACATTATTGTCGCGATGCACTTGGAAAAATGTTGGATGCCCAACATGAAGAGGATCAACGCATTTTGAAAGAAAAGCAACGTGCTGCTGCTAAGGTACAACCGGACGACCCGGTCGCATTTGCACAACTATCAAATGGGCGTGACAATCAGTTGGGCGAAAATGTTTTTGAGACTAGTTTGAATCAAGCATTGGCAGGCACCAAATCCACCAACTTGAGCGACATCACTTCGCCAAATAACAAACTCAACAAAGTAACACAATTGACCGGCTTCTCCGATCCCGTATATGCTGAGGCTTATGTTAATGTCAACCAATATGACATCGTTTTGGATGTATTGATAGTTAATCAAACAAGTAGAATAATAAGCTACAACAAAAACTAAAATTATTATTAAAAAAATCTTATCTACTGCAGATGACACTCTACAAAATTGCACATTGGAACTGGCCACTTTGGGTGACTTAAAACTGGTTGAACGGCCACATCCTGTAGTCCTGGCACCCCATGATTTTTGCAACATAAAAGCAAATGTAAAGGTATCATCTACAGAGAACGGAATTATTTTTGGCAATATCGGTTGGTATAATTTAAGACTTAACGTTGAACCCTAAATTTCATTATCAAAACCGAAAATATTTTTAGTTTACGACACAAGTATTAATACAAATGTTGTTGTGCTGAACACTATACATATTGACATTATGGATTACATCATACCCGCCTCTTGCACTGATACTGAGTTCAGGCAAATGTGGCAAGATTTTGAATGGGAAAATAAGGTAATACATTTTCAATCGCTATAACTTCTTAAGTAATTATACCAGCGTAATTGTGTTTTCAGGTAACAGTAAATACAACGTTCACCGATTTACATGAATATTTGAAACACCTATTGAAGAGCACCAATATGAAATGTTTGACACCGGAAAAGGCACTCAGTGGTCAATGTGGATTTATGGCCGCTAATATGTACGCAAAGTAAGTAAAAAGCATGCGAATAGTAACGGAGTACGAAAATTAGATAAACGTGTCCAATATTTAGATCGATTTTTGGCGAAAATGCTCTTGCCAATCTAAGTATCGAAAAGCCCGTGGACGATCCAGATTCTAAGGTCACTGGACACATACGCATTCGTGCTAAAAGTCAGGTACATCAAAAATGTTTAAAATTTAAATTTAGCGCACGCTTTACATTAATATTATTTTTCAACGTTTACCCTTCCAGGGCATGGCACTCAGCTTAGGCGATAAGATCAGCTCATCACAGAAGCAATCAGTGCAAGCCGCTTAGATGCCGATAGATGTTGCAACATATTTTTTAAGCTTGAGCTCTTAGTGTATTCGTTGGATTTTTTGTTTTGATAGGGAATTAAAGTAAAATATTTTTCCATACATACAAACAATTGCACTACAGACATACCTTTTATGTGTTGATGGAAAGTGCGCGAATAGGAAAGCGAACGCAACTTTCTAGATATATGTGAAGGAAATTTGGTGTAGTATATCCTTTCTATAAAAAAAAACAAAAAAAAAAACTTATAATTCCAGCTATTAAATAGTATAAAATACGACCAATTACTTTGTTTTATGTTTTTGAATATCGCATTACGTGTACGAGTTTGTTTACATACATACACCGTTTATTATATATACATACATACATTTATCAACAATAAAAGGTTAATGAAAGTTACGTTTAAAATTCAGATAAATGCTTAATTTACAGAATGTTTAGTACCTTGCGAGATATTTAGATGACTTTCGCGGGTCTAAGTGAGGTATGCGCACAATTAATACAATGGTTTTAAATCTAGAAAAAATTCTAAATAAAAATTCGCTCACGGGATCGATTTCAAGCAAAATATGGTAAAATCATAAAAAAGGCTAAGTACGGAACCAGGCCAATTTAAATGTGGAACTTTTTTATGTCTTCTACTTCCGTAACTTTAATATGGCCACTACTTTGCTTATTCTAGTACAATTGAGTACTTTATTTGAAACGCTCAATGCAACCCTCTAAAACAGCTGTTAAATTTGTTTACATTTTTCCGCTTTGCTGCTTGTGGATCCGTGAAAGTGGAGCAGTCGTAATTGGGGACAACATTCCAGTAGCTGTTTTAAGCATTTCAACCAGAGTTAAAAGTAGCAGCGAAATAAAAGTTCCACATCAACCTTTTTTATTCAAAATGTTCATTGAAACATGCATAGCTCCTGTGAACATTGCGCTGATTAAATACTGTAAGTACGCTTTCTCCTTTGTATAGTCTACCGTTTTGAGCTAGCTCAATGGGCGATCTCTATTTTATTTGTACTTTCACTTGAAGGGGGCAAGCGGGATGAAGAGTTAATACTGCCCATCAATGATTCGCTCAGCGTGACCCTAAGCACCGATGAGGTATTTAGCATATGAAAACTTGCTTTCAGGCATACTAAAATCGTGAATTTTAAACAGATTTTTGTCATGCTAATTTATTTCAGATGTGCGCCAAGACAACAATAGCTGCTTCAGCTTCCTTCAAGTGTCACATTATGTGGCTTAATGGCGAGGAGGTGCCGTTTGAAGAGAATCCACGTGCCATGCGCTGTTTAAAGGAGAGTATGTGAAGCTACCGAATTATTAACGGAGCACATATGTACGTTTTTTAATTTAATGCATTTTAGTACAGCGACTCGCAATTGCAAAAGGTCAGCTAAAATTCCCCATAGACTGGAAGCTTCACATTGCATCGCATAACAATTTTCCTACAGCTGCTGGCCTGGCATCTAGCGCTGCGGGTTATGCATGCTTAGTACAAACGCTGGCATTTTTGTATGGCGTTGATGGTGAAGAATTGACGGCAATAGCGCGGCAGGGCAGTGGGTCAGCATGCCGTAGTTTATATGGCGGCTTTGTACGGTGGCACATGGGTAACCGTAGTGATGGCAGTGACTCCCTTGCACTACCTGTAGCTCCGGCTGAACATTGGCCAGAATTGCATATTTTCATATTAGTTGTAAATGATGCGCGTAAAAAAACTAGCTCAACCAAGGGCATGCAGTTTGCTGTGGAAACATCAGATCTGATTGCACATCGTGCGAAACATTGCGTGCCAGAACGTATAGCGGCATTAATCCAAGCTATTGCAAACAGAGATTTTCAAAAACTGGCTGAAATCACTATGCGCGATTCGAATCAATTTCACGCTATTGCATTGGATACGTATCCGCCATGTGTGTACATGAATGATGTTTCGCATGCGATCGTAGAATTCGTGCACTCGTACAACAAAGCAGCAGGAGAGATAAGGCTTGCTTACACTTTTGATGCAGGGCCCAATGCTTGTCTGTACGTGTTGGAACGGGACATATGCGCTGCGTTGGTGGCCATCAAAACCAGCTTTCCAAATGATGAGGAACAGAGTGTCGAATATGTTAAAGGTATCCCAGTAGGATGCGACCAGAAGGAGGTAGGTTGTTGTACATACAAATTCTATGTGTTTAAGATTTGCTTTGGTGTTGGTAATTATTTGCGAATTTATCATTATCAATATACATATATGTATGTATAAATATATATATATATCGTTTCAGAGTAACGGTTTCAATGGAAACGCCAGTTTGCCTATTAATGACAAGAATCTCCTTAAATATATTATTCACACGCGTATTGGCAATGGTCCACAACGTCTGGACAAGAACGAAAGCCTTCTAGATTCAACTCATGCTCTGCCAGTCGAAAATTAAAAAAAGATCTAGCACTTTGAGCTATCGATGGGACAATAATAGTGCTTATTCGTGACAATAACAGTTTATGGACTAGAATATTTTGTATTTTTGCAACAATAGTTATGGTATATCAGCGAATAGTTTACTTGCGAATAAATGTATGTACTTAAGAAAATAACATAACACTTTTCTAACCCAATTGACTAAGTAGACGGAAATTACTGTAGTAGAAATAACATAACAAATAAGTCGCTAACTTAGAGTGAAAAGTTGCTAAGTCCACTTTTTATGAAAACTCATATTTTGATACAGGAAGCTTGAGAAATTAAAAATTGCCTGGTTTCGAAAAGGGTAAAAGTCCTTGTTTTACTTTTTCTCTTTCATATTTAAGAAAAGAAAAAATGTGCTAAGTCCAAAAAAACTCCAAAAATTTTATAAGGCCAAAATGGTGCGAAATCTTTTAATAAAGATCGAATCCCTTTGATTCATATGGATTTTTTCTTTGCTTTAAACAGATAAAATGTATTCAAAGTTTTGCGAAATACTTGAAAAAAA